GAGTTTAGCGAACATTTTATTAACCAGCCTTTGATACGTGGCCCCAGCATTTTTAAGACCGAACGGCATCATAGTGTAACAATATAATCCTCGGGCTGAATAAAAAGATGTATGTTCTGCCTCTTCAGGGTCCATTGGAATTTGATTATAACCTGAATATGCATCCATAAAACTCATCAATTCATGTCCAGCTGTGGCATCCACCATGTAATCGATATGCGGTAAAGGATAACTGTCTTTGGGACAGGCTTTATTTAAGTCGGTAAAATCAATGCAAAGTCGCCATGCACCAGAACTCTTTTTCACGAGAACAGGATTTGACACCCAAGTCGGATATTTGGTCTCTTGAATGAATTTGTTGTCAACTAGTTTTTGAACTTCTTCTTCGAGAGCTTTCTGTCGATCAGGACCGAGTTTGCGTCGTTTTTGGACCACTGGTTTAATTGTTGGATCTAAGTTGAGTCGATGAGAAGCGACCTTTGGATCAATCCCTTTCATATCTTCGTGTTTCCAGGCAAACACGTCGGAATTAACTTTGAGGAATTGAATGAGCCGAGTTCGTATTGGTTCTTGAAGATTGGCCCCAATTTGCACCGACTTGTGACAAACTGGATCATCGATGAATATTATCTCGACCTCTTCTAATGGTTCGGCTCGTTCAAGTTTACTTTTCTCCTTAAATTGAACTCGCGGGTCAAGTACATCTTCCTCTCTAATTGGTTCTTTTCCTGGACGTCTTCCACGATCACAAATCAAATCGTTGTTTAATTTCGCGGGATCGAGTTCCATCTCGGTAATACATGATTCCGAGTTGGTGAGTGTTGAATTTTCTTGACTTTCTTCGATATTCTCCATCATATGTACGGGTATACAGGGTTCATGCCAGGGTTTTACCCATACCATTCCGCGAGCTTCGTACTGGTCTCCATAATGAGTTCCTTCTCCATTATTAGTTGGAAATTTTAGAGCATAGTGAAATATTGATACGGCTGCACGAAGCTTATATAAAGCAGTCCGTCCAATGATGGCATTATATTGATTTTTGAGATCCATCACCTTGAATGTCTCCATAATAACTTTGGAGGCTTGTCCAGGGATTCCGAACCGAATCGGCATAGTGATTTCGCCAAGGGTTGTCGTTATGGTTCCATTAAAGCCTTGTACTTGATCCTTACAGGGTTTTAACTCGGCTGGATCAATTCCCATTTGTTCAAATGTACGCAACATCATAATACTTGAATATGCTCCAGTGTCCACCAACATACGATGTATCGGTATTCCACAGATGGGTGCCGTGATTATTAAGGGATCAGCATGGGGGTGAGCAAAATAACTTGCATCATCAACATTGAATGTGATCGGGCAATTGTTTCGAGCATTAATTTTATCTCGGAGGTCGGTAGTTAAAACTGTTTTTCCCGAGTTATAAGCTTTTCGAGCATACGCTTTTAGTTGCCTTCGTGATTCCAACGTTGCATTACTGCTGTTGTTGACCCGAGGTACATGGTGTGAGTTGTCTGGATTATAGTATCCTCCTCGATACGTCATTTCAGTCGAATCTTTTTTCTCTTTGATTCGTCATATATATTTCTTTCTCATTTGATCTCACCCGTTTCGGATTAATTGGACGTTCTTCATCGTCTTCATCGTCTGGTAAATCAGGCATTCTTCCTTTTCGTTTGTAATCAACATTCTTGGCAAATCTTTGGACTTGAGGGTGTCCAATAAGTCGCAACAGGGCAGAAAGCAAACCGAGACATTCATCAGTATTATGGCCTGCCGACTTATGATATGAACAATATCTCGTTTTATCAAGTTTTTCTTCAGGTGTTCTGACAGGTCGAGGATCGGGAAGAATTCCTTTCCCCTTTAATTCTTCAAATATTGTTGCTGCTCCTGCCGAGAATACCGTCTGGTAACTAGATTTAACTTCATTGAGATATTTAGTTCTGGCTTCTTGCACTTCAGGGATTTTTGGATTCCCAAATCGAGACTTATTTGGCTTGAAAAATTTATTTTTCTTCTTTTTTGATTCTTGCCCGACTTCCGACTTTAACGAGGAAAAGTCAATATTAGGAACCGACATTGATTCTTCGGCTAAAATATGCTGTTGAGCTCGAGCCAAAAAGTCTTGAAATGAAGTCGGTTTATTTTGACATATACTCCATCGGAACAACGAGTTGGGCTTCAATCCGGCTATGGCTGTGACCAATAGTGTTTCGGGATGGCATTGCTCCATATTTTGTATGCGCTCATTGAACCGAGTAATGTAGTCTTTCACGCTTTCATCATCTTTTTGTATAATATTTGCGATTGATTCCTTGGGAATTAAAGATACTCGGGCCCCGATAAAATGAGAGCGAAAAGCTGTCCTCAACTGCTGCCACGTGGAGATTGAATACCGAGATAAAGAATGATACCATTTTTGAGCTCGTGGTCCCAAAGTTAAGGAAAACATCCGACATCTGAGTGCTTCATTCGCTCCATGAAGATCCATCCAAGATGTGTACTGACCGAGATGTGCATCAGGATCGGAAGTTCCGTCATATAAGCCGATTTGCGGAACTTTCACTTTAGTCGGAATAGGCTCTCTCGTTAAATGAGGGGCTAAAGGAGTTCCAACCTCTTGATACGTCTCTTCTATCATTGGAGTTCGTCGTGGTGGTCCTCCATGTTCGTCTTGGCAAGTCTCCAGCTCAGCAATTCTTTTTCTCAACATTTCTAACTCTTCTGATTCACGTCTTTGGCGATTTCTTTCAATCAAGCGACGTAATTCAGTTTGCCCACGACGAGCATGGGTTTGTTCGAGAGTGTGTTGTCAATCAGAAGGTTGATCATGTCGTGATAGTTCTGGTAATGATGGAGTAGACTGTCGTGGTCGATGTCCAGAATGGCTTTCTGCAGTTGCTTCTGATCGAGCTGGTTCTGGAACTCGAGTTTGTACTGGAACTACTCCACGATTTTGAGTCGTTGCATCATGTTGTGATTCATGTGTACGTGGATGGGAAGTTGCATGTGATGTTGCAGGAATATTATTCCTTCGTGGAACTGGAGTTGAGCGAATTTGAGGATTAGCTGTTGCGGTTGATTCTATTCTTGTTCGTGCCATAAAATCAGTTAAGTTTTTCAAGAACTCTGGATCTTGAAATAGAGCTGAATAATCAATTGATGTAGATGGCACGGCAGAAGTTCCGGTTGTATGAGTTGGATGACGATTGATCCCAGGGTCAGGATTTCGTTCATTTCGTCTAGAATTTGACATCCTTTGTGTGTTGTTTTACAAGACAAACAATTGAAAAGGGAGGTTCAGGCGGCCCTCCTTCTAGCGCCAAACTGTTGCTGTCTTGAATTAACAACTTAAAATTAAACACAGTTGATGTTCAGAAAATGAAGATAAAGTTTAATTGGATTTTATTGATTATGTTCACAAGAGTACAGAAGTCGGTTTTAAGCTGAAAACCGAGATTGTATTTTGTTCATGTACCATGTGATCGAAAAAGATCAGATCCTCGTACTATCATAAATTCTGCTATTTATAGTACGGTGGCTTTTGTCTTCTTCCTCGAAATGGATAGAGATGCATTTAATATTGAGCTGCTTTGTTTGAGGCGGCGGGAAACATCAATGATTGCCTTTTTGTTTCGTTGGTCCAATCAGATGCTTCTAATGATTACTTTCTATTTGGAATGCTCAAACTTTATGGTAGTCGGTTGACTTGATGTCGGTTTATTTACGTCGGTTTCGGATGTCGGTTTCGATCCTTTTTGTCTGTCGAAGTTGTGTCTGTCGAAAATCGGCAATTCTTAAGAAGTCGGTAATTTGCTATAATATATTCCGACTTTTAGTTCCTTAAGCTCTGATTACTGGATTTGATATCAACATAGATAAAAGAGGTTATGAATGTATGATTATGGTAGTATTATATACGTATAGGTCGAATTAAGTAGGATGTACGAATAAAAGAGATTATGAAGATATGATTATGATAAGTATTACAGGCGTATAGCTCGAATTAAGATTTATAAAAAGATTTGATCATGATCATGCTCAAATTACAGATGATCACAAATTTGTAGTTTGAGGTAAATGTTTATTTGAGGATAAGGAGATAAAAGAGGTTATGCAAGTAGGATTATGATAGTATTATAGGCGTATAGCTCGAGCTAGGGTTCAAAGATGATCTAACATGCTCGAGCTGGAGAGGATCACAAATGTGAAGTTTAGAGGTACAACCATGCTCGAGTTGGAGAGGGTCATGGATGTACAGCTCGAGCTCGGGTCTCATGATGACCTAACAACCATACTCGAGCTGGGAAGAGTTGGGGACGAGTAAGTCGAATTAGGGTTCTAGGATGATTTGGCCACTCACATGTTAGTTGCAAAATAATATCTGGAATAAAAAGGGTTGAAATTGAAGGGGATTATTAAATAAAGTTAAGGAAATAAACACTATTAAATGATGAATATGTTTGATAAATAATATAATCTAGCTTATAGATTATTTGATTATGTTATAAGTTTCTTGTATTCAAATATATTTAGTTTGGTAGGACGACTTTTGCTTTTTAAATTTCAAGTTTATCTTATAAGCTTCATTTGGTGGCTTTTTAATATTCCTTTGAAATTTTTATTTCAATGGGTTTTTCACCTAATTTACCAAACGCTTATAATATCAGCTAATTTTTTAGACATAAGCTATCAACTACAAGCTTAAAATTCACTTATAAGCTATCATCTAATTTATCAGTGGGTGACTTATCAGCTAATTTTACTAAACGACTTATCATATCAACTAATTTTTCAATCATAAACTATCAACTATAAACTCAAAATTTACTTATAAGCTATTAGCCAACTCATCATCTAAAAATTATCTTAGATTTGTCAAACATAGCCTATATAATTTTTTGTGTATTACATATTGCAATACATAATTTTTTTGTGTATTACAGATTGCGTTCTCTACCAAAAATTTCAATTAGGTTATAAAAATCAAATTGGCGCAAAGTACAAGTTACAAATAATTAGTATCCTTCTTTTTATGTGTACAAACATTCTCTTAGTAAAAGTGCACAACACACATTTTATCCTTAACTTCAAGCACATGAAATCAAAACACAACACACCAGATTCATATTTACAGTAAGCAGCTTCAACACTTCACTACATTCTGCAAGTACACAAAAGTACAACAAAATTTATGCATCATCACCATCACTGCTATTCGCCCGAGTATTGATACAGAAGTCCGAGTCAACTCCATCTGATATCCTCTCTCTGTTACAGCAGCAATGCCAAAGTAGAAATAATAAAAAAAACAAAACAAAATAGTCAGAATTTCCTCAAAAGCAAAAGGAAAAAAGACGAGGATTGGTGTATAAAATAGTTTCAAATACCGCTCAAGAACAAATTTCCCTTCTTTGTATTTCTGGCTTATATCATGAGCAGCCTCCTGAAAAATAGTGAATGCATGCAGCAAATCAAGAACAATCGAACTCACGTGATAANTAAAAAAAAAAAAAAGTAAAAAAGTAAAAGAATGAAGGCACATATGGTGCAGACATACGTATTTCCAGCCGACTATTTGCCCACAACAGCAGCAGAATATTTCTGCTACAGTATGCATTCCGGATAACATCATTCTCTCCTCAAGCGGTCCCATTGTGATGTTATATCTGAGAAAAAGTCGATTGCCGAGCAGAAGAAAAATCAAGCCCTTTCAAAGGTGAACTTAGTGATGATATTCGTGAAAAGGAGTAAAAAAAAAAAAAAAGAAAAATCATCCTCTCTTTGGGATTTCTTTATTAGATGATTCTCAAGGTTATACATATCAGGACTGTCATGTCGTATTTTAACCACACGGTGATAATTCATAATCGAGCACATGAACTTGAAAGAAAAAACATACTCAAGCATAACAAAAGATTTAGCTTCATTAGTTTCTAGCGTCAATTAAACTTGAATTTTTTCAAGAAAACAACAGAACACAAAATAAGAAAACCAAGAACCGTAAAGCTTCTCGGCTTTTACCAGTCTCGGTGCAAACAACATACGAATACTTCCAGCAGAGCTATTGGGGGACTTACACATTATTAAACAGGTACGCTTTCCCACTGCGGCAGTGAAATGCCTAAGAAATATAAGCAACGATAATATTAAAAGACATTGCAGTCCCAATTGCAAACCAGAAAGTAACAAGCTTTGAACAAAATAAAGCCTCAAGCTGATATATAAGAAGTATTGAAAACTAAAAATCTACTTAGAAGCAGAGAATTCTTTTCTTCTTTTCAATCGGTAGCAATATTATGACTCGAACCAAAATATTGTTCGTGAAAGCTCGAGCTTTGGCTCGTTCTCACTTAAGAGAGGCAAGTTCAAACAGCATCTCGAGCTTGTTTATTAAACAAAAAGGATTGGTAGCACTATGAACACAGCTGTCAGTTTTTAAACCTCCTTTTGGATCAAAACTATAATTTCAAGCTCCTTTTGTATCATAAGTGTCATGAAAGCTGATTTCTATACCAAACAGAACTTACAAAAACACCAATATCAATACAGATCAAAGTGTTCATCGTGAGCATCCATTTTTTCACAGAGAACAAATAAGCTAAATATGCAAACAAAATCAACAGTGAAAAAATAATAGTGGAGAATAATAAAAACGAGAAAGGGATGAAGCATCTAACCCGGGTCACAAGCTCACTGTAAAGGGCTAAATCAGTTTTGCAGAATTTGCATCTGTATGTTCTTCCTTCAAGCTCCACAACAAAAACCCTCCCCATCTCTCTCTCTCTCTCTCTCTCTCTCTCTCTCTCTCTCTCTCTCTCTCTCTCTCTCTCGCTCTCTCTCACACACACACACACACACACACACACTCACACACAAACACACACACACAGATGGCCAGATTGGTTTTCACTGAATTTGACGGAGGGTCATGATTATCCATGGCTCCTTCTTATCACCTCTTCTGGGATTTTCCATGACTGCCCTTGAAACCAATTGGATCTACCGGTTGAATCCTTGGTGTTTGAAGAAATTACGAGAGTACCAGTTTTCGACGATGCCCACCACGTGCTCGACCAAATGCCTGCGAGAAAAAAGCCCCCAAGAAACGAGCTCGCGTTCGCAGCCGTGTTCCACAGGCACGCCGCGGCCCGATAATTCGACCAAGCAATCGACTTTCTCAACAAGATGAATGAGTTCGGACTCGGGCTTGGCCCGGCCGGCTTCCAAACGCTCCTACTCTCGCTCTGCCGATACAATCACAAGCCCCTAGAGTGAATATCTATTTTTCGTACTCCATTTGCATCAATAAACATGTGATGTGAGTGAACTTTTTGCATACAATGTTCTTATTTTTGTGGATACATGATTTATATGTAGTTGATAGTTTCATAAAGATAGTTCCATCTTTTCATGGCTTTATAGCAAAATTTCATTTTTATAATGGAAATGTTTTTAAAATTAAAATGTTGTGATCAACTCATACTCATTCATTCATGTCACAATAGTTCAAGGCCAAAATGTGTCTATAATCATCATATCCATGTTTGGTTTTGCTCACAAAAAGATTCATAAGAAATAAAAATGAACAATAAAAACTATACTAGGTAATGTCATTTTTAAAGTCTCTTCCCTTTTCCTTCTTTATTGTTTTTCCCAAGTCATGTATTCCCAAACCTTAATGTGCAATATATATAGTAACATAATACAATGCAGACTTCTCAAGGAAACATGTCTTATTTCGATGTGGGAAAGTTCTACTACATCAACCTAACTCACCTCCACAACAATGAACCTTACAAAAGGCACAACAAGAAACACTTAAAATTTGAAAACACACACTGAACACAAAGTACTTGGATTTTCGTTGATAATTTCTTTTGGCATTTTTTTTTTTTCGATTTCTTGTATCGTTCATCAACAAAACTAGAGATTTCAAGACAACCTAATATATCTCTCGAACGACAGCCCGGTCCCACTCAACTTCTCGTCGAGAATCCTCCCGACCCTCTCCGCCATGTCAGCCGACAGGTGGTTCCGCCAGTCCCCGACTTCCCCTTTCCTATAAAACGAGCTATTCGCAACAACCCCGTTCCAATTCCCCTCCTTGTTTACACTCAACGCTTTCAAACTCCCCATGCTACAAAGTCGTGCTATGTACTGCGCCGGGGCCCACCCATTCGGCCGGTTTTGTTATGTCCTCGACCACGCCATTCTCCTCTTCCTCCTCCGAGAAAGGTTGCCCTAAAAACTCCGCCATCTTCCTCAAGCTCACCGACCACATCTTCCCTCAGCTCCTCGTACTTGAGGAACAAAACTCGCCCGGGTTCATCCCGGCCCGCTTCGTGGTAACCGAGCATGTGATCCCAAAAGGGGCCGAATGGGTGGGCCCCGGCGCAGTACATCTCGAAGGCTTCCGCAAGGGGCAGCGGCTCCTCCTCGGGCCGAAAACGGTTCTTGAGGAGGAAGAACCTGTGGTGGTAGTGGGTAGGGTTGTAAACAAATAAGAATATATAGTTCTTGTTCTCGTATAAAATGCGAATGCGAATTCGAATTTAATATTCGTGATTCGTTTTCGTATAAAATGCGAATGCGAATTCGAATTAAAATAAGAATATATAGTTCTTGTTTTTCAAATTTATACGAATTCGAATCTGAATATGCACACATATTCGATTCTATAATAATAATTTTATTAAATTAAATATGTTATATAGAATATAAAATTTTATTTATATATGTCAAATACTCCCTCCTTTTTTTAATAGATGTCGTTTTAAGAAGTTGCACACTAATTAAGAATATTTTTTATTGTCAATAATAACCCTCATCTATTACTATATAATACGGAGAAGAAAAATTATTTGAACAATTCGAAAATAATCATTTCGTTTTCCCGCTTCTTCAATTCGTAAAATTTTTTTTTGAATTTTTTCAGCCCATGCAATTAGGTAACCAATCAAATCGAATCTTTTAGCATTCAATTTGGTAAGGTGTTCGATTTTAGCATTCAAATCCGATTTCACTTCCTTTTTTTATGCCAATCAATCCGATTTTTTTGGTTGTTTCAAAATTTGTTTAGATTTATATTTTTATTTTATTAATATATTTGAAAGAGAATCAATAAATATTTTAATATATTAATAAACGTTTATTATTTATTTTTTCCTTATGTGATATAATAGAATTTCGGTATTAAATTTGTAAATTCAAACATTTAAAGGAAAAGATTCCAAACAATTTTTTTGGGTAAATTTCATTTTATCTTGGTTTTCATTATCACATTTCTAACAAACTAATTAGTATTATATTTTTTTATCTACATTATCTAACCGATTTTTTATTATACAATTAATATAATATCTTAACAAATTAATCATTTGTCTAACCGGATTTATCTCTCTAACAAACTTGTTAATTTTTTTAAAATTAAAATGGTATGATTATTCTTATGGAGATACTTATCAATATATTAAATATTTAGAAACTTTTTTTAAAAAATGAGTTATCCCTCTTTTTACTTTATTTGAAATTCTAACTTATATTTTTAAATATATTATTATTTATTTTTTTACATGTAAATATTTATTATTTATTATCTAAGTGATAAATATTATTGATTTATCTCTTTAATAAATATTTATTATTTATTTTTTTCCTTACGTGATATAATGTAAATTTGGTTACTAGATTTTTAAATTCAAACATTTAGGAAAAAACCACGAACAAATTTTTTGGTTACATTTCATTTTATTTTAACTTTCATATAATCACAATCCTAACAAACTAATTAGTATAATATTTTTTAACCCATTTTTATATAATCGGATTTCTTAAAATATAATTAATATAACATTTTAACTATTTAATCATTTGTATAACTTGATTTAACTCATTATCAAACTTGCCAAATTTTTTTTGAAATTAAAAAAAATTTGGAAGATTTTTATTTGTAAAATAATAAAAAATAGCTTTACTTTAAAGTCTGGATTATTTCCATTATTTTTTGTACGTTAACAATCATATATTTTGGATTATTGATTTAAAAAAACAAATCAAAACCGTAAGGTTTAATAATATTTCTTAAATAAAAAATATTGTATAAAGAAAAGTATTTAATATTATATATTTTTCATTGATTGTATTTATTTTATTTTCATAATAGACGAGATGTGAAAAATATAAATAATTGAAAAATATAAATAATTATATTTAAAATAAAGTCTAAAAAATGTTTAAAAGATGAACTCTTCCGTGCATCGCACGGGATATACACTAGTTAATGAGGATAGAGATGGATGTTTTGAGAAAATATAAAGAGTGAATATGAAAAGACATAGTGTATTTATTAGCTAGATAAGGGTAATAATGAAATAATATGTACAAAAGATCCAAAACGTCATTTATTTAGACAATTGTTGATAAAGCCAAAATGACATTTATAAAAAAAAGGAGGTAGTATAAATTATACATTATATTTAATTATTTATGTATAAATTTATATTTAATATATATATTATGTTCAAAAAAATATATTTAAAAGATATAAATAAAGCCGAAACAAATATATTCGATTACCTTAACCGAATATCAAATGCGAATCGCAAATTAAATTCAACAACGAACTAAATACGAACATAAATAGTCAGATATTTTCATTAATCATAACCGAATAGCCCACTATTCAATTCAATTCGATTCATGTATAACCCTACTACTACATACCTACCTGTGTGACACGAAAGCGGGTTCCGACAGATGTAGATTATCTTGCAGCCCGACCCCAACACCGAGCTCGGAAGGGTCCCGTACGGGAGGTGCGTGGCGACGACTCTCGGTGTCGGGATAGATTCCGTGCCCGGGTCCGGGCCCGGGCTCAAGCCCACATTGGGGTCCCGGTAAAGGTCGAGCTCGAGGAACGGGACGAGGTCATGTGGGCTGGATGTGAGCAATGAGATGGATTCGGGCCGGACCCTACTGCGGTTGACAAGGCTGAAGGCCAGGGCCTTGAGCCACGTGGTGCCGGCTTTCGGCATGGTTGCCAAGATGACGTCAGATTCTCGGGCCTCGAAATTTTTCCGGCAGAACACGATTCCCGGGAAGTCCATGACCGGGAACCAATGGCCGAGGTACCGGCACAACATCCGGCCATCCCAGTTCTTGATTTGAGGTAGGGTTCGGAGGAGATCTTCGTGCTCGGTTTCCAGCGCCACGTCAGCTCCAGCGCCACGTCAGCTTTCCGGTCGGTAAGAGTTGACGGGTTTGTGTTCTCCGACGTGGTCGATAACACGAGCCTCGATTTTCGGTAAAAGGGTTTCGTGTTGGATGTGGTAAAATGCAGGGGAGTTGTGGACTTGAGGAATGAAGGGGAGAGGAGAGTACTCTGTTTGAGTGGAGTGGAAATTGGATAAGTTGGTGTGGTGATAGCCATTTNNAATGGAACTATGAAAGAGGTTTTTGCTTGACACATATGGAAATCAACAGTTATAAATAGTTCATTTTACTCGCTATGTTTGCAAAACAAGGGCCCTAAATGTTTGGTATTAGTAGTTTCGGTCCTTTAGTATGGTGAGGAGAGATCTCTCATCAAATATCATGTTTCATTTTCATATATTTGTGATGTGTTTTAGTCTGCTGGATGCATGATATGTATACAAATATGATGTCATTCGTGTGTCGTCCATTTAATGGAATAAAATGCGAAATTGAATGTAACATCTAAAAGTTAGGCCAGTGAAATGACAGTAATGATTTATCCTACTATAAACGAGTCGGGCTCAAGCACCAGAGCTTAAATAGCCGAGTTGAGTTCGGATTGCTAACTAAACGAACTAGTAATCGAGCTCGAGTGCAGCTCGTTTATCAATTTTAACAAATCGAGCTCGAGTTGAATAATAGAAGATTATATTAAAAGTCTTATCTTTTAGCATTAAAGATATGAATCGTGCCTCGTTTGTTGAGTAAACGAGCTTTCAATGAGCACGAGCTTGGGTCATGTGTCAAACAAGCTGAACTAAGCTCGGGGCCGAACCGAGCTCGATACTAACAGGTCAAGTCACGAGCTTTCATTTTGTTTAACAACTATAATCCTACATGATCGAAATATAATAATATTTCATTTGCTCGTGAATAATTATTGAAACGTGATTCTCTTATGAATTTCGGACCAGTTCACAATTATCAGAGTCTCATGCTCTGCCCTACATTTATAGTGAAAATATCAAGAAAATGCATACTTGCGTAATAAAATGACGTATTTTTAACTTTGATTGTATTTTAGAGTATGATGTTTCAATTTAAAAATATGCATATATGTTGACAAAGTATAATTATCTAACTGCGTAGCCTTTAAAATATTGTTGGTACTGAAATACCGGATACTTCTTTGGTGTATCTCTCTCTATATATATAAACTAGTACGTAGCCCGTGCGATGCACGGGACATAAGTATTAAATGAGTCATTTCCACAGAGTTTGTCCGTTAAGTAGCTCGTGCGATTCACGAGAGATATTGAATGAGTGGACCATAGGGCTTGTCTGTTTAGGCCTAAAAAATAATAGAGTCTGATCATTTATCTTTTTACATATTTTCATCAACGTCATTTTTTTTTGTCGAAACATTAAACCTGAGTCTGGTAGCGCAAGCCCGTAAATTAATTAATATATTATCTCGCTCACATGTTTATAATAATATAAATTTGATTTCATTATATATATATATATATATATTCCTTGATATAAGAAAAATAACAATTTTACGTAATCTTGTTCCTCGTATAATACTTATATTATTTTATTATAAAATTCATTGTAATATAATTTCATTATTATTATTTATGCAAGTTATATATGTAGTCTTCTTCTTCTTTTTGTTTTATATAATTAAAATATTTAATGTATGTTCATATTATTTATAAATGTAATTAATTTAAATTATGTAAATAAATTTAAAATAAAACATTTTGTACAAACATTTTACAAAATATACACAAATATTTTTTTAGAATTTTTTTTTTTATAATAAATAAACATCTTTGAAATTCTATGCAATTATTAAACATCCGTAATATAAATTCGAAATCATAATTGAATTCTATGCAATTAGTAATTCTGTCCGATGTTATGAGAAACAAATCATTCGGAAATGATTATATGTAAGTTGAGATAAAATGAAATGTATCAAAAAAATCTGCTTATGATACTTTCCTTTAAATGTTTGAATGAATTTGAAATTTAAATTACAAATCAACCTCCAGTTATTCAAATAATTTTAAAAAAGTTGCCAATTGTAGTAAAATGTATGTGACAATATATTATAGATATACATGACGCCAGTAATATTATGAATCTTTAAGTTCCTAAAATATATATTGTTTAAATATGAAACTAATTAACTTATATGTTAAGAAAATATATATAAATATATGTATTGTACGAAATATACGCGTGACAAGTTATTATATTTGTTTATATATTGTTTGTATTGTTATTATATTTGTATATAAATATATTGTTTATATATTTTTCTGTATTGTACGACAAATTATTATATTTGTTTATATATTGTTTAAATATATATTGTTTAAATATGAAACTAATTAACCTATATGTTGAGATAATATATATAAATATATGTATTGTATGAAATCTTTAACGTGTTTGTTAAATTTTTCTCCTAAAAAATTCAAAATACATTTAAGCATATTTTGTTTGAAGTTTGAAATTTAAATATGCATCTATATAACAAATCTCATGATTTATGCTAGCATTAAATGCTACTTGATTTTTTATTAAAAAAATTAAAAAAACATACCAAAAATGGAATGCAATTAATGTTCCCTATTTTTTTGCTTACTATTTTTTAAAAATGTTAATTCTTATTATATATATATATATATATATATAAATATATAAATGTTTGATTATTTGGTTGAACTGCTATCAATTAATTGTATGGTATAATTATCGGTCTGGTGTTTAAAATATTGTGCATTATTGAAATAAGGCCAAAGTTTATTAGAAAAATTACTGCATAAGCTGTGAAAAAATTGCGACACAAGAGAACTGGACTACACCACTAAATAAACTGTCCAAAAGGCAAGTGCATGTGCATATAATAGAAAATAATCCACTCCCGAAAAAAAAAAAAATCAGTAAGAAAAATGAGCAAATGCAACATGTAATTTGTTAATCCATAATTCACTGAACATTTTATCAGTATGCGAAATTTTAAACGAAAATATTCGTAACTGGTTGATCCAATTGTATTTTCTTGATATACAGCATAATTAACAGATAAATTAAATAGTTTTTGTGTTTGTTCACTGATGGATTATAAAAGCGCAAAGATTCTTCCACCTGATCCAAATAAATTTGTTGGATGTCATTCAGATCTTAATGTTCACGGGTGTGCTTCCACATTTGATTAAAAACATGTTAATTGGTAAAATATTTATATTTCAAATATATAATTAATAACAAACATAAACAATAAAACAAATTATATATGAGTAAAAATTCTTAAATAAAAATATTGATATAATAAATAAAGCAAAATATGAATATAACAAATAATAAAATCGTGTGTATAAGTGATAATTTTTTTTTTTTTAATATAAGTGATAATTGTTAATGTATCCGTTACAAATAATTGTCGGTTTAAATTTGAAATTTTGTTTCTAAGCTACAGGTAACATTTCCAAATTTTTAAGTCTAAATTAAAACCTGACTTGCAGATTAAAAGATCTTTATGATCCATCGGAACAAAGGAATAGCCCTAAGCTCCTAGCCCAATGGCACATCGAAAGTGGCAGCCCAACGGAATCTGCTTACTTGTTTCTCCATTCGGCCCAACAGGCTCAGCGAACTCAGCCCATTAACATTTCGGGCGGGCATCTGTTTTCACCTCAATAATAAACAATACTTTTTTCACCCTTTTACATATTCAAAACCATACATAAACAAAAAATCAATACAATTTAGAAACTAACGATAAAAATAAACCACAGATCAATCTTATAATTGTAATTAAAAATAAAAACTTCGTAAATGTAAAAATGAACAAAATAAACAATACTTTTTTTGCCGTTTTACATATTCAAAACCATACATAAACCAAATATTGTTGGACGGCTCGGTTGGATGGACGAGTGGCAACGGATTGCGGTTCGGGAGCTTTATGCTTGTGTTCATGGTGGATGGTTGTGATGGTAAGGGGTCCAAGGATGATGAGGATAATTGTGAAAGAGAATTTTGGGTATGATTTTGATTGATTAACAAGAATATTATTTGGGAAAAGGTAAGGAAGTTTTGGAGGAAGATAGTTAATTTAGTTTTGTTGTGCATGGGATTTGGAGGTTAGATGAATGTATAAGAGTTTACAAATTATGCATTGATGATATGGATTTACATACCTATTAGCGATGTTCTAAAAGTCGCTAGGCGCCCGCAAGGCGTTCGACCAGCGCCCCTAGCGCCTGGTCGCCTAGGCGGAGCATAGGTGGCGCCTAGTCGGGGCCCAGAAATTAATATTATATACTTTATTTATTATTTATTTTAACTACTTATAAAATAAAACTATCTCAACTTATAATAAATTAATTCACACACCAAAGTCCAAATAATAATATGAATATATATTAAAGGAAATATAAAAACAAAATAATGTAATTAGTGTTTAAAAAAAAAACTGAAAAATTATCGCCGAGCCCGCCTAGGAGCGCCTAAGTCCACCTAGACGCCGCCAACTGCCTGGCCGCTGAGCCCACCTAGGAGCGCCTAGGGCCGCCTAGGCCCGCCTAGCCGTCTGGCCGATTTTTCTGCCGATTTGTGCAAATCGAAGGCGCCCGGGCACCGCTTAGCGCGTAGGCGCCACTTAAGCGGCCGCCTAGGCCGAGTTTTAGAACAATGCCTATTAGTGTGATGTTTGTTATACACCTATAACTATGCATAATTTTTCTCTAGCCCTTCATTTTGCTTTGGTGGGCACAAGCTCACAATTTCTTTTTTCTCTCCATCACTATTTGACAAGTTCGATTTAATTTCCTCTTGGAGTTTTTATTCATAGGATTACACTCGCCTAACATATTAAATTTGAGTTGAATTTTGAGTTAAAAAATATAAAAAAACAATCGAGACCGACAAAATCAAATATTTTTTGTAGCCAATCGTGTTATAAACTCAACTCAACCTGGCTCAATTTGGTTCAAATAACATCATAAGTGGCGTGATTGGATATAAATAAAATCGGTTTAGATTAGATTTATTGGTTAAAATGAGTTAATTAATTTGAATAAAATTTATTGAGTGGGGAATTCAGTTAGATTTTAATTTTGTATTTAAATAGTATGTAATAACAAAAATTGATGTGATGTATAGTATAAAATAGTTTATTAGAAACTAGTATGTACCCGTGCGATGCACGGTGGGCGCATAACTTAAAACATATTGAAGTACTTATTTTAAATGTAATTAATTGAATTTAACATATAATTATGGAAACAAAAATAAAAATAAAAAAGAAATCATATATTATTAAAAACTTCTTTGTACACGACATTATTTGTTGGATTTAGGGGCAAATCATGTTCAACACATATTAGAATTTTCAAACCTTTTCTGTTAGTGACGTGCGAAACAACAACATACAACTGGTCATGACTGAAAACTGGTTTCTTCAAGAATAAACCAACGTGGGATAAAGATTGACCCTGACTCTTGTTAATAGTCATTGCATAAGAGACCACGATAGAGAACTACCTTTGTTGAAACTTAAGAGGTACTCTTGCATCCGAGGAGTTATCGTCATTCGAAGTATCAACACTTTATCCCCTGCATGGTCGCTCGTAAGTACCCTACATTCTAGGACATGATTGGAGAGACTTTTTACAACCAAATGTATCCCTTTCCACAATCCATAAAATGATCCATGTTCTGCAACAGTATAACCGGAGTTCCCACCATCAAATGCAACTCATGATTTGGTGTACCAGAATATTTGAGAGAATTTAAGAACTCAGGAGTGTGGATTTCTGACAAGAAGTCAGAATTCAAATCGAATTTACACGTACTGTCGGAGCTCAAATACACACGACCTTTTGTTAGATTGAACGACGACATGTATTGGTTGATAGACTCAATGATCTCCAACGTAGTGAGCATCCCGTGCGATGCACGGACGGACTTGTTTCTTGAAACATTTTTTTTTAAAAAAATATATTTAAAATGTAATTATTTATATTTAAACAACTCATTATTTTAAATATAATTATTTATATTTAACATATCGCATTATTGATTTCTATAATAAGTATTTTTCATAATTAATTATCATTCAAATAAAACAAATAGTTAATTATCATTCAAATAAAACAATTAATTAATTAACATAATTGTTTCCTATAAAAAATAAGCAATGCAAATTAGACAATTAATGTGCACATCCCATCCAGGAACTGACTTTCGTATCAATCGAGAACTTCTCACACGTCACATCTCCTGCCCTATCATTCCCAAGTGCCACCCTTCGAGCTAAATATTCTCGTCCGATCTGTCATAACCCAACAGCTCAGACCAACCGCCAGAAGCCCGTGCAATTAACCCGAGTCCAGCCGAAAATTATTGTATTCTGTGGTATTTTCACAAGTGCGCAATTCACATCCAACAAAATTTCGCTCAACAATTCACGCACGTCTCATGCTTCATACGCAAAATCCAACCAAGAAAAAATGAACCGTCGTTCGAAAAATTATGGCCAGTGAATTAAAATTGATATGATATGTGAGGATGATTGATTCATATCATTTAATTATATTGATAATCTTTTATATATTTAAGATTAATTAAATGTGAGTTAAAAGTTGTTAAAAAAATTGGGACAGTAAAATTGAATAATTTATGTAGCCAATCGCGCCCTAATAAAGTACTCGAGTCGACTGAATTCATCTCATCCTAAACACTTTCCCTCCATTCCATTTCCCTCTCCCATTGTCCCAAACCAGTCTTTCCATCTCTCCCTCCAAATAATCCGAGCAAAAAGGATTTCCAAAAGAACTCGAAAACCACCAATGGCTTCCACTTCCGCACCTCGAACCAACGCCGGCTACGGTAGAATTAAGTCGGCGGCGACGGCGCTCTACTCCGACAACCAAACCCTCATCTCTGTAAGCTTTAGTTTCGCTCGATTTCGTATCCGAGCAGTTGCTACCACAAGATTCGTTTCAGTCATCTGAAATCTGTTTTTGCGTTTATGTTTCAGGAAATTAGAAAAGCCACGCTTATGATGAAAGAAATTGCAGTCGATTTTGAGAGGGACAATAAATCTGACATGGTATTTTTGAAGTGCTTAAACCCTAGCTTGTGCTCATGTGTTGGGGGCATTTTGGGTTGTTGAGGAATTGGTTGAGAACTTTGGCCTGCGTGTTGTGCTCTGTTACTGTAGTTTTTGAAAATTGCTTGTTGATATATTTTCACCCAGTTTTGCTATGGTGCCATCGGATGACTCGGGTTATGGAGCCATCCACACTTATTCACCAATAGTGTATTGACACGTGTCCTGCAATAAATACACTTTGGACATGTGTCAATACATTAAGTGGTGGATGACTCCATATGGGCGCCATAGAATTTCTGTCTGTTTTCAGGAGTAATTAGAGATTTTCGGTATAGCCCTAATTAAGTACTCTGTTATTCTGATTGGTATTTGCGTACTTTTGTTGATTTTTGTGCTGTTAGTCCGAATAATGAACATAAGCATGTAATTTTAGGAGTTAAAATCACATTCAAAAATACAAAGAGAGAACATCTCATTGGAGAAGCTGTGGCTAGTGATGTAGCAATATATCGTGGTTGTATGCATTTAGCTAAATCATTGCCAATTATCTTTTTCTTTTTCTTTTTCTTTTTCTTTCNCATTAGCACAATGATTTTGTTTGTTGGCAAACAAATAGTTGTTTTCCTTTCAAATTATGAAATAAGTGGTTTAATGTAATGTAGGTGAAGGAGCTTGAAGATAGTGTTCTCGAATTACTGAGAGCCTCAGATGATTGTACTCATCTTTCAACGGCCATCAAGTCAATTGGAGATGAATACCATCCTGGAAATGAGGTGATGGTGTTTTATGAAATCTTGAGTGTTTGGCCTGTAAATTTTGTTGAGTGCTGACAAATGCATTTATTTTTCTTTTCTTTTGTTTTCTTGCTATCTATCTGGGTTATTGTTGGAGGGTGCAGCTTACCAACTTTAGCAAGCTTCTTGATGATAAACTTGAACGATTGAAACCCGATTCATCATCCGCCCCGGAGAACCATCACTGGTTACGGCAGTTTCGTGAAGCTATATGGGTATGATTATAACACGAAGTAGCCATACTATTTTATAATTTTTTGTTGGCAAACCAAATGGCTATTTTTGCTGTACCTTGTAATTCTCTTTCAACCCATATTGATTTGTTCTGGTTTCTGTCAGGTCTTTTCAGGTTATAGAATCGATTTCCTTTCACCTTTTCTACTAATACTATAGTGATTGAATGTAATGTGCATTTCAACATCAATAAATATTTTTAATTCTGTGATTTATTAATGTCATCAATTCATTCTCCAGAAACTAGTTCCGTACTCAACGGATATTGCTGTTTATAGTCTCATTATGTTGCGATTGCAGATACATTCACTTCTATTCCTCCTAAAACATGTCTAAAATACACCAAAATACACCTAAGAGCATCTCCAATGGTCTTTGAATTGTCCCATTTTTGTTGCCACATGGCACATAAAATCCTACGTGGCCTAAAAAAATTCTAGAAGTCTTTCTAGATGTAGAGTACTTCTAGACAACTTTTATATTATATATTATAAAATTTATTCATTTTTTTTTTCTTTTTTTAACCAGTTATAATTTTACACATGTAAATTAAACCATCTTTAACATTAACCATTGAAGACACAATTTCTTAAAATAGACATGAAACCATTGGAAATTTGGAGATGCTCTAATGTTCCTTGTTACTTGGAACTGGAACATCACTCAGTACTCACCTTCTGTGCTTTGTACAAGGCTGGTAGTGAAAGCAAATGGCAGAGGGATAATAAAACCTCGATCCTTAACACGAGTAGTTCAAATATTTTGTTTTCAATGTGCTATTTTTCCATTTACTTGTGGTTCTCATTGTTGGTTTTGCAGAATGTTCATCATGCTGGGCAGCCTATGCCAGGTGAAGAGCAGGAGGACATAGTAATGACCAGCACTGAAAACAATCTCAGGAACACTAAATGTCCACTGACTGGAAAGCCCATTACCGAACTAGCTGAGCCAGTTCGCAGGTATTCACTTAACACGACCACTTTACCTTTCACCCCATTAGGGAAACACTGTAAAATCAATCTGCTTTTGGTTAAATCAATCCTTTCTCAATGGAGATTCACCAAAAAATCTTATACAACAAAATAGTGCCCGTTCTCTCATTTGTGTTGAATGGAACTTCTCGTGGGCACCCGACCAAGAAGTAAATCAATTCCATTCGGTAAGAGTGTGTTAGCTAAGCAACATAAGCTAGCTTATAGCTTATTTGCTTATTTGGTTAGATTATAAGTTTCCTATATTCAAATAAACTTGGTTTGATAGGACGAACTTTTTTAAAAACCTCGAGCTTATCTCGTAAGCTTCTTCCTTGGATAGCTTGAAATTTTCATTTCAGCTGGCTTATCAGTTAATTTTACCAAATACTTTTATCATATCAGCTAGCTTTTCAGCAATACGTCATAAGCTATTAGCTATAAGCTCGAAATTCACTTATAAGCTATCAGCTAACTTATCTGATATCAAGCTTATCAGCTAGGTTTACATTAGCCAACTTGCAACCATTTGTTGTCGTTCGAATTTATCCTTCTAGAAGCTTTGGACATAAAATCAGCTGCGCTTTAAAAGCATAATATCTTAACCTTTTTGCATATGATGTGTTTGATGTCTGGGCAGTGTGGATTGCAAGCACATATACGACAAGAACGCTATCTTGCGGCATATGAGGGTCGACATTGCGTGTCCTGTTGCAGGTGTGCTGTTTGCTTTTCATCCCATATGAAATATGCTGCTAAGTTGATTTTATATATATATATATATATATATATATATATATATATTTTTCACTCTATATTTCTGTATAAAATTTATTATTAGTTCACTCATATATTTATGATTAATTTTAAATAATTATTTTACTCTTCTTTCACATTATAATTAATTAATGTCCATTCTATCATATTAATTTAAATTAAAAAATTATTAATTATTCTACTCATTTTAATTTATCAACATTTTTTTTGTCAACGAGGAAACACATGTCTAATTGAACATATAGTCAACTTTTATCATCTTATTGAAGCCATTTATCTAAATTCACTTTTAGTTAACTTTCATCATCTTATTATTTAGGCAAAATTGTACTTCGCATCACAACATCTAACAAAAAAATCAATATTACAAGTTTTTTTTTTTTCTTAACAAAATGGGGTATAACTTTTTATTTTCTCCAAATAAAGCACACGATTCAGAGTCCGACTATGAAGATTTAAAAAGTATTTTTCTTTACAAAATGGCATGTAACTTTTTATTTTTCATAAAAATAAAGCATATGACTCCGACTCCGACGATGAATAGTGGCGTAACCAATCGCTTCGTAAGCAACATTGCAGAAAAACAAGAAATACTGTAGAAAAATAAGAGGAATCAATAATATAAAATTAAAAAAAAAAACATTTTACAGCACCATTTTCTAATTTTTTTTAAATTTATAATTATATGACTATATTTTTTTTTATTATGCTTAAACCCCAACAATGGAAATCATTTCCTTAAACCCTCTCTCTATTTTGCTCTCTTATTTTCCACCATGGCAACCTCGAGGCTCCCTTTGGTTCGCCGTACTCTTTTTCTTCTTCACCCCAATCCTCCACCGCCCTTTCCTCAGCTCTCGCCATTTTCTCCGCCGCCGCTTAATTACTCCACGTTCGAGCGTTCATACGCTCGATGCTCTTCCGTTTCCATGGAAGAATCTGCTTCATCCAAACCCATCAATCCAGAAATTCGAAGAAACCGCAAAAACCCTAGCTGGAAACCAATGTGCTTATACCACACTCAAGGTAGGTGCACTAAGGTAATAGTTTCTCGGTTTCCGTTAATCCTCGCCGATTTTTTATTCTTTCATATCACGGATTTTTTTATTTTTTATTTTTTTTTTATTTTTTTGAGGAATTTCTGATTTCTGGCTTTTTTTTTGTCATATCTTTGGTGAAGATGGATGATCCTCTGCACGTTGAGAAATTCTGCCATAGTTGCTCGGTGGAGCTCGGGGGAGATGTTGCAGAGGTACGGAGTCACCGTGCTCAAGAGTTCGACTACTTTCTAGTGCTGGATTTGGAGGGGAAAGTCGAGATTTTGGAGTTTCCGGTGCTGTTATTCGATGCGAAAACTATGGATGTGGTGGATATGTTTCACAGGTGACTGAAACTTTCTTTCTCCAAAGCTGTTTGATATTATATATCCCTTTGTGTGGCTGTGTTTGTTGATACTTGTATTGTATGTTTGTTACTCGGATATAATTGAGCTTCTGGTTTTTTTGATGGTCTTGTTTTGGTTCACTGTTTTTGTCCTATGTTTACTTTTGTTTGCATATTTCTTTGAGTTCATTTGATGTTCAATGTACCACCGATTTTTCCAATTTGCAGGACTCTGTGTAGCTCTAAGTGGGTTTGTTTGGCCATTTATTGTTGTACTCAAATTTCTGCCAAAAGAGAGCAGTGAATCTCCTAGGTGTTGTTAATGGTTGAGCCATTTGGTATTATTTGTACACATCGTTTTTAATTCCTCTGGGAAGCTTCTTAAAGTAATATGCAAGTCGCACTAGTGATAATGATTCTATATGATTGGAAATGTGTAGCTAAAAAATTCCTGAAGACAAGGATAATATAGATCCATATCTGCATTTTAATTTATGTTGGTTATCATTTTTTGATGGAATAGTAATTTGGAAAAGATTTTTGCAGTGTCATTAATGTTTATCTCTTGCTTAGGAACAAATGAGTTTGCTCAATTTATTCTTCTGTTCAATTTAGCAATTTGTCTAATTAGAATTTGTTATTCTACTCACGTTATGTTGGCAAAAGTGGCTTGCGACGGGTTTGATCTCTTCAGCAATGCATAATATTCGTCATTATTTTTCTCTTATTTTTTCAGGTTTGTGAGGCCTACAAAGATGGGTGAGAAAAGAATAAATGAGTATATCGAGGGAAAATACGGAGGATTTGGTGTTGACCGGTATGGTATTGTTACTCTAATGACTTCCCTGATAAAATAATTGTTAGCATTTTCATTCCTATGTCTATGTTTGAGTTTCCAACACGACAAATGTTTTTACATATTCTTGTTGAAGGAAGCATGTTGATTATTTGATGGTTTCGCAATTTCGTTGGCAGATCAAATTATTTTGAACAATTTTTTGAAGTATTCAATCTCCTTATAATTCTTATAATTCTGAATTCGTTGGTAATTTACGTAAATTACCAAATTGTAACTGTTTAGTCCAGGATCAGTTCTCCAAATAATTGCTTTAGGGATTAACACTCAATTTCTCATTATCTTCCTAATTTGCCCTCATATACTCTTCGTCGACTCTAAAATAAAAAAAAAAAAAAAAANNAAAAAAAAAAAAAAAAAATGAGTCACTCAATATCTTAAGTTGTGTGGAATTTTCTAAAACGAAAAATAACTGGGATAGAGGAAGGACTTACTTACGCCACGATGCCAATTTTTCTCATTCTTGAATGCTAGAGAAGTTTTTTATCTCACGTGCGCATGCAGTGTTTGGCACGATACAGCAATAAAATTTGATGAAGTTATCGAACAATTTGAAACATGGCTGAAAAAGGACAGAGGTGGACAAATCCAGTTATGGAGAGAAGATGGAGATGGGCGTTTGAATGGAGCCGCATTCGTGACCTGGTGAGCTGCTCACTTAAAAAAAAATCTGTGTCCAAAAAATGTACGGAGCAAAAGATAAATCTTGAATATGATTTCCCAAGAGATCTGTAAGACTAAGAAAGAATATGAGAGTTCTGGTGTCACTTGACTTTCAATTTCAACTAAGAGATTAAAAAAGAAAAAAGAAAGAACAATGAAAGTTCTAATTTACTTTACAGTGTTTTTTTATTTAAGTAGTTGCTGTATGTTCACCGTGCAGTGGAAATTGGGATTTGAAGACCAAAGTACCTCAGCAATGTGAAGTATCAGGGATGAAACTTCCACCATATTTTATGGAATGGATAAATCTCAAGGATATTTACCTGAACTTTTACAACAGAAGGGTAAGTGCATGAGAATTGATGTTCCCACTTGCAACTTACTTTAATTTCAACCTTTTTTCTCATGGTAGGAAACTGGTAAAATTGGCTAACACTTAGCAACTGTTTTAAGTGTCAACGATTCAAAATAGTCTGAGCTTTTCACAGTAGTAACATGTTTTGACTGTCTCTATTATGGGTTAGTTTCGGAAAGTAGCTTTGAGGTTTGTACTTATTACATTGATTAAAAAAAAAACATAGAATTTTGAAATTACATGAAGTACACCTGTAGATTCATAAGCAAGAACATTACAAAACTAAGATTCATATATATATAAAATTAGCATCATTAGCCTATCACTCTCAACATTAACCCGAAACTCGGGAAATCTTTGTGATTTGAAAGCAAATTAAATGTTTTTTTGGGTGGCTTTATCCCAAAAATGATTACTTTTTTTTTTCTGGTTAATTACTGTTTTCTCTTGCATTGATCTTTGCAACAAACTTTCTTGATCTTTCAACGGCAGGCACCAGGAATGATGTCGATGATGAGGGAACTCCAAATTTCGCCGTTAGGAAGTCACCATCTCGGCATTGACGATTCCAAAAATATCGCCAGAGTTTTGCGTCGTCTGCTTACTGATGGTGCCATTTTGCAGCTCACGGCAAGGCGAGTCTCGGGTTCTCCAAGTAATGTTAGGTTTCTTTTTCAAAATCGGATTAAATAGCTTATTTTCTCTATGGTCGAATCATTATGCTGTAGTATCTGTGCAAAATTTTTCCCAGAGGCTTCAATAGGAGTAGATTCTTTAATTTGTGGTGAGTTGCTTTAAGGTTTTGGGTTATTCATATTTCATAAACATGTTTGAGTCTGCAAACTATAGATAGTAGATTCTTTAATTTGTTGTGAGTTGCTTCAAGGTTTTAGGTTATTCATATTTCACAAACATGTTTGAGTTTGCAAACTATAGATATAGGTTGTGTTTGATAAGTACATACGTTAGCTTATAACTTATTTGATTAAATTTTAAGCTTCATATATTCAAATAAGTGGTTTGGTAGGATGAGCTTTTTAAAATGCTCGAGTTTATTTCATAAGCTTTCAAGTAGCTCTTCAAATAAATTCATTGAAATTTTTTATTTCAACTAGCTTGTCAGTTGATTTTATCAAACACTTTTATCATAGTTTTTCAGTCATAAGTTATCAACTATAAGCTCGAAATTCACTTAAAAACTTAAGTAAACTTAGGTAGGTTGACCGAACATAGCCATACTCTCCGTTATCTTTATCTTGTGTTCTGTAAGTTGCAACTAGTGAGAGGATAAGTATTGGGGTGGAGACGAGAAAGGTAAGGAAAAAGAGAATCCACGTGTCAATAAATTAACTTGACCAAATATATAACACAAATATCTCTTTTAAGCATTTTGTGTGTGAGACAGTCGATCTGGCTAGGTGCATTTGGTTCATCATACTATTTTAATATATATTTTATCAAATATCATTTTTCTGTTTATGTTGTTTTTAATAATATGATATTTCTTTTAATAATATGATATTTCTTAATAAATGTATGTATATTTGTAAAGAGTAATGGCCTAACACAAGACCAACCAATGTAGGTATGACAGACATGATCATTATCTCAAACATTACCTAAATCTTAAAATCAACATTCACTATATTTCATATATAATGAATGTTGATAAAATGAATTTTAACAGTCGAAGTTTAAATATCCATTTGTTTTAAAAAAAATAGGTGGGGTAGCCTATTGCAATACTGTGCCAATAAAAATATCAAAATATACAAAAGTGAAATTCAGTGATAGACAAAAGAGGTAATTGAGGATTGACTTTCATGGTTAAGGTTGGAAAAAGGAAGAACCAACAAGATAGGTTTTTATAAATAATAAATATACAAATAAACTCTTCACCTCTACTTTCTCGTGAAAAAAGAAAAGAAAAAAGATAAAAAGAAAAGAAAAGTCTCATGAAGTTACTATGGTTCATACTTTTCACGAACCTTTAAAACCCTTTCTTTGCCCCCGTAAAGATGACAGTTGAGAAAAGCCTGAGCCTGATAAACTAGTACAACATTTCTGGTAATTTACCAACATTTTTCTCCCCACAATCATGTCCGAAAAATCGCACGAGGAGGCTTTTAAATCGATCGAGAAGCTTCCGGATGACGAATCCTGGCCGTCGAATTTGATTCGGGCACCGTCACTGTCACCTCGCACGCAGACAGAAGATCAAAATCCAGGAAACACGAAAGTTGACCAGAAAAACGAAGAGATTCAAGACGAGGAGAGTGATTTTTCAATGGGGAAGCTGATCAGACAAGCTTCACTGACCAATTCGGAAAGCTTTCCCCCGAGAAGACATGTCAAGGTAAGGTTTAGTTAGTGTTCGTTAAAAGTACGTAGAATGTAAGGGTATAATTGGTATACGACTTTACGAGGAAAACTAAAACTTTTTATTTAGTTAACAAAATGCACCTTCATACATTTTTACATTCTTTTTTCCGGCAACTCCAACCAGTTTTGAGTTATAATTAGATAATTTTGTTAGTTACTATGTATTTATTGCACTTAGTAATATTGCCAATTTCACAACTAGGCCTTGATTGAAATTGATATCCATTAAAACAGAAATTAGCTCCAAACTCTAGCATATCAAGGCATGGGTCAATAATGAAGACGGACCTAAGTAAACTCGGGGGCCCGTCCGGCAAGATCATTAGAGCTCAACGCGTAATGAATCAACTCAAGACACAAAAGAGTATGAATGATCTCGAGTTATACAATGAACTCCAAGGTTTCAAGGACTTAAGTTTAGATCCTGAGTCGTCTAATGGTCAAACCTCGGCTTCTCCAAACGGTAAGAAATCAGCGGAGGACATCAAGGCACAAATCAAGTTCTGGGCTCGAGCCGTGGCTTCAAACGCGCGTCAGGAAAGCTAGTTATTCCTATTCCACGATTATGTCCAATCTTTTCAGTTAAACTGAATGAATGACATGTGTATAATATGAAGTGGAATATGGGATGGGCAGTACGTACTCTACTCAATGCTAACCTATAGGTATAGCATAGTTTGTTTACTACTTTATGTGTTACGTTATTGAAATTGACTTTAGAATAACAAGTGATTTGATCACTAAGAAACTCTGATTTGTAATGTTTGTGCATTTGAAATTTCTATGTTGCGTGAATAATATGATCATATTATGATATAATATTGTGTAGCTACAAGTGTAGCAGACAGTCTTTGGTCAATTGGTAAAGTTACTTGCTATTTTCTCATGATGGGCATTTGTTTCTTAGGGTTAATTTGGTTGGGGTGATGTATTAGACGGTTTAAATCAAACATGTGTTTATTTATTATACGTGATTGGTGGTTCGAATAGTGTATTGCTACACAACGTTTGCTTCTCTAGACAATTCAAGCGAACGGGAGCCCTCGCACGAAAGGAGTAAAGAGTTGTCATACGATGATTTCGTACATTTTGCGAAAATATTTTGTTTTGTCGTACCGTAACTAATAATGGCGCGTCGTAAGTTCACCTTGCGCCTTTATTGCATTACAAACTATAGAATATCAAAACATTACATCTACAAGGGGACGATTCGTTCGTACTTTCTTCAAAAACCCGACCCTCATTGTTTCCGAAAGATCGAAGCCCCATTCGGACTAGTCATCAACTCCTCACGATAATGCTCGTCATTCCCAACAACTTCACGCACTTTCTTGCCAAACTTCTCGAATTCCTCATACCTCACGAGCGACCTATCACCAAACCGAGGCAGTGGGGCCGCGTTCCGATCCAGAAACTGCAGAACCACGACAGAGACCACCGAGCAAACAAACATTGGGATCGGCCCAAAAATCCAGAACAACAAATTCGTCGCGAAATAGAGAGACCTCAAACCGACAACCCAAAAGTTGCTATCTTTAATAACCGCGCCCTCGACGTTTTCCACGGGCATCTCGCAATTCGGCATGCTTATGAGGAAATTGGCGTGCACGAAACACCTAGCCGTTTGGACAAAACACGCGAAGGCTACCATGAAGCACGCGAGTAGTGACACGTACTTGAGGTAAGCAACCGTGGGGCTCGTGTTTCCGTACACCGTGTCGGTTAGGTATTCATTGTGGTACGAGCTCCCGATCCACGCGCCAATAAGCGAACTCAATGCAAGGGAGATTGAGGCTAGTGACGTGGCGGCCGATATGTTGGAGCTTATGATGGAAATCGCTTGGCCTCTCTCCTTTGGCTCGACCTGCGAAAGCTCGTCCGTCGTCAGTAGAAATAAGTTTATTCTCGGCTAGTCGATTGCTCGGGAAAAGCGAGTAGGCTCACCTGCAAGATTCGTGCTACCCAAGCCCGCCGGTTGTGGTTTTCGTAGCCGATGACCGTGGTCTCGGGGCAGTTGAGGCATTTGTGAAGGTGAAAGAGATGGTAGCCAAAAAAGATGATGAGACCACTTGGGACTAGGATAAGATCCAAGTATTCTTCCTTCCATGCTAGCACCATTTCTTCTTATTCTTCTTGTACTAGATTGAAATTTGTAGTGTGTGTGTGTGTGTGTGTGTGTGTGTGTGTTTTGTTTAGTTTTTGTAGTGTTTATAAAACTAGAAGCATTCATAATGGTGTGTCAATTTGCCAACTAATCTCATATTAACTATTGAAGTCATATTATTATTCATTATAATTTAAAGGTTGTTGTTCTTGAATAACTTTTTTAGTAAAACTTTGACAAGTGCAAATTGTTTTAAGAAATTATAGAGGACAAGTTGGCCGTTTTATTACATACTTTAGTTTTCTTCTTATTTCAGCAACTTAAAACAGTTGTAGAGTTGACCTGACAAATCTTGACCATAAAAAAATAGCAAGGGGTGTTAGTTATTATACTATTTTTTTAAAAAAAAAAATGGGTAGGAACCTTTTAGTTGGTGATAGAGGTAGAAAATGTTCAAGGGGCCAATTATTAAAGTTAATAAAATAAAATAATAGAAGCAGTTATAAAATGTAAATAAGTACCAAAGTTAAGTGAGTGGGGGTATAAATACACATATGCACAAGTAGCTTAAATATGAACTATTCAAAATGTTATAAGGTGATGGATATGGTTAAAAAAAGACTTTGGAATGAATATGTTTTAACTTGATATAAATATTCTCTTGTGTTTCATCTCTAGCCTACTTGGGACTAAAATATTATGTTGTTGTTGTTGTTGTTGTATTGTATGGTATAAATATACATTTTTATTTTGTTCAAAATATATAACGGATCGATTTTGTCAACAGTTTGGCTGCTCACACAAGAATTTGAGTTTTTTTTATAGGGCAGTCTTTCTCAACCCAATACATAATTGAATGCATTATCTTCTTATTCTTTCAGCATTTTGTTTTTCCAACGTTTAATTTTTTTCACATGTTCGTGACAACTTTCTTTTGCTTGGATCATAAATTTTATGCACGCAAATCTAGGCCAGCCTGCATAGTCCTCCCACACATGGAAACAAATTATCGATTTATTAATTTATTATTATGAAATTGTGTACATGGAATCTTTTGCGTGTTGTGGGATTTTCCCAATTTTTATTTTTATTTTTATTTTCATGTGCTTGCCTCCAATTCATGCAGCAAAGAATTGTGATTAGGGGCCATTAAATAACATAAATTCTTGTGCGAAACCTGAACGTTAGGTAGCGGCCTGCCCGTGTCATACTCATTGAACAAAAATATATACTTAATCCATCAAATGGCATACTTTTGTTCATGTTTTTTTAGAGTGTTTTAGAGTATGACGTTTTCTAACCAAAGTAAGTCAATTTGTGAAAGAGTATTAGGTGAATGTAATAGAAGACTTACCACATTAATAATTGCATAATTAAGCTGATCAAGACATCGATAGCTCACGTATATGGGCAGGCGCTGTTTTTAGCACGGTTTTATTCATTGAATTTGGAGCTGAATTGGTCATTTTTGGCTGGCTTTGTACTTCTGATGGCACCCTTTTGCGCATCTGAAAACAAGGAGCTTAAATGATGACTGAAAAGATTACACATTCATGACATCTTATCAGATTGGGATTCAAAAAGATCTACACAATTTTAGAACTGCAAATATTAGACTCATAAATTACTTCAAAGGTCATGACAATCAGCATGGTATGTATGTATTCTAGAGGAAGTTATCGGCTAAAACAAGACACTCGACATTTTTGTGCCAAAACAAGACACAGAAGAGATTGAAAAAACGCATCACTATCAGATATCTATGTGCTTAAACTCCCTGTACTGTCCCGACAGTTCTTTCTTTTGTTAGTCTGAGAACACTTTATTAATCAAGATACTGATGTTTTTCATTAAATCAAGAAACCACCTTCTTGCGACTGCAGATTTGATGCATAAACCACCAAATAAAAACTATTCGATTATGTTGTATTCTATATACTTCATACAATGAATGCAGATAGTTTCAGGCTGAGTAGTTTACTAATTTTACGCATTTAGTTATTGCACTAGTTCAATCCTACCTGGGATGAAACTTCTAAGCTCGACTGGATATGCCATTTTTCTACGGACAATCTATTCATAAACTACTGTCACTCGAAAAAACCGGTTTACCCTAATCACTTCAGCTACGATTACAATCTATCGTCCACGACCACCTTAGAATTGGCCAGAAAACACCACATTTTATGAACAATATCAGCTAAAAAAAAAAAACAAAATTAACAAACCAAATTCAATGTATTAGACAGAACAACCAATTTCATAAAATCCACAGCTGCAAACACTCCTCTCTAACTGAGACACATCCCAAAAAAATCACAAAAACACTAAAAATTCCCCAAACTCAGATTGAAACAACTGCACAATCAATGAAGGGTGGATACAGAAAACTGACCCTGCAGTTGGGAGGATTGACCGAGACGGGCACGAACCCGCACGAGGACTTCATGAGGCTTGAGATCAGGCACACCAACATTTTCTCTGAGCTCCAGAACCTCCGCCCCACCGAACTGCGGCAGTAAAATCGCTCGACAGCTCGTGACCACGCTCCTCCGTGGCTCGTGAAACCCTAACTCAGACGGAGCAAACGAAGTGCTCGATCCATCTCCGATCGCCGCCGATTGGGCACACCTCCTCATCAGCCACCGCAATTGTTGAGGATGCGAATCGGAACCGCTGATTGACGGAAGGATTTGTGGCATCGTAGACATTTGTCGAGCTTCAAGCCAACAGATTTTGAAGGTCGTTATAGTATTTACTATTTGTGCACCTTTAGTTAGTTACAAATTAATTTAAAATAATGTTGGGGATAGGTTATAATTAAGTCAGAGCCGGCTTGTTAACTAATCGAAGTTATCGTTTATAAAATATGTTACAATTAGAGCTGAGCCAATTCATTAACTTAACTAGTTGAGCTCAAACTCGACTTATTTATGGGATGGGTAACAATTAGAGTCGAGTTGATTCGTTAGCTTAACGCGTCAAAACTCGAGCTCGACTCGTTTATCAATATTAACGAGTCGAACTCGAGATTTAACGAACTAAGCTATAAACAAAAAAAAATATATATAAAATATTATATGTTTTCTAGCCTTATCGAGCTGAGTCAAACTAAGTCAGTTAACTAAACGAGCTTTAAGCAGGTTTGAGCTTGGCTCATTTATCAAACAAGTAGAACCGATTCAAGTCTTACTGAATTAAGTTTATGAACTGTTCATTTCGGTAACAGCTCTGATTACAATGAAATATCTCTTTTTAATTTCTCCTTTTACATTCAAAACGCATCTGTATATGTCAATTAATAGCTTCTGAACCATTTTTTTTTTAAAATTTCTCTTTTTCTATTCAAAACGCAACCATATATGTCAATTTACCAATTTCTATCTTCATAATTCGACGTGTCAATTTATTTTTATAACCTAATGGTCAAGTCTTTTTTTTTCCAAACGACAGACCTAATGGTCAAGTCAGTACCTAATTTTATACGTTGATTTCTAGCTTCGTTCTTTTTCACAGGAACTAATAATGTTTTGTTCATTATCAAAATTTTATATATATCAAATTAATCTATTGCATATATAGAATAAATAAATGTAAGTTTTTCCCTTTTAATAGATTAAAATTAAATTATTCATCAATATTAATTAAAAATAATAAATTATTTTTTATAAGTTAATTACATTTATCTAGTGTTTGAGTGTCATTTTAAATAAAAAATGATTCAATCTTTTAAAATACTTAAACTCCAATATATGAAATTCCAAAACAGTATAGCAACTAACTACAAACTTTCAATGACCACCATCTCAACATTAATGTCGAAAGATACAAAACAAAACTCACAAACTTACACAGGAACACTCTCTTATTAGTTATTACTGATTCCTGCAAATAGGAACCCTCAAGTACAAAGAATAACCATGAATTTAACATAATCAACCACTTTTACTTCAGTACAACATTCCAATAATCCAAACACCCTCATTATATTAATCTCAATCAACCTCTCTTCTGCCCAAGCTTCTTTTATTTATTCGATACACGGAGAATAAATAATCAAGATCAATTTTTTTTCGTTCGCATTTTACTGATGATAATAATACCTCTTCAAAACCGGAAATGAGTCAGGCGAACTCTTGAAAAACGAGACATCAAACAGCTCTATAAACCTCTGATCTGCAATTCTTGCTTTGGCCGCTGCAAATCGTTGGTACTCGTCAAAAACAGAAGTCAAACACCAACTCTGAAGTTTCCTCAGGCACCCGACAAGGCAGCCCGTACGGTGCTTAAACGAGCAAGAAAATGAATGTGCATTTTAGTTATTACACGAGAGTGATTTAAAATAATCGGGAATCGAGTTTATGAAGAATGAATGTGTATACATATATATATACCTTGCCTCGTTTGCAATGAATCAACAAAGGGCGGTTCTTGGCATCTAAAAATTCGAGGAAAAATCGGGTTAGGAATTTTTTAAATATAAAATGTAATTCTCGAAAATTGCATGAGCAAGATTGGATTATGTGATCTTCTCATAGGAATAAAGAAGAAAGTGAACATACCAATGGTGATTTTCAGCGCTTCACGTATTTTATCCTCGGGTATATTTACAAACGGTTCCTATAAAAAAAAAGTCGATAATGAGATTTATGGGGATGCTGTGGAGAATTTTACATATGTAGCTTACAAATTTTGAACACATGGCATCTTGAATTTGATTATATTTTTTAAAGAATTTTGGTCCCTTCAAAGTTAGACAGACCCCCACCAAATCCAATACAAAAAAACCGTATTCAACTTCTATANTTTTCTCGACTTGAAGCACTCGATTAAGACTCAACCATAACAAGAAAAGAAAAGAAAAAAAAAACTGAATTTTCCGAAACACTAAACTGTCTTTGTTCTTTCATTTCAGCCTATCAAATTTGGTGCTCTTAGCGCAAAATTTTCGTAATAAATAACAGAGTGGACTTTCAATTAATCTCGTGCATTTTATTATGACATGAAACTCTCCCCAACTCTTTCCGGGACGTTCCATGATGAGATTCAATTTTATATGGATTGCCAGTTAAAGTAATAGTGTAACACCACAAAAAACAATCTCAACTTCAAGGTCAATCTCTTATCAATAATCAAAGACTTCCATTTTATTTTTTTTTCAATCCGCATTTTAAGACTTGCTATGTTTAGTCAAGCTGATCACACTATACTTGGTGGGAGAAGTGAGGTACTATCATGCTTTTAGTTTTAGATGGAGAAATACAATTATGCACGAGACGAATGATTACCAAAATAATGATCAACCTCAACAAAGGCTCAAATGATAATAGATGTCCGAGTTTTCACATCTTGAATACGAAAACAACTAGCCGATTTGTATGCAAATCGAAAGACAATACACGGCCAACAAAGACCTCAAAATATGTGGCTACAAAAGTCCATATCACAACACTCAAAGTCTAACGTAACAAAGTAAATTAAGGAAAGTATAATAATTTAAACAAGTAGAAATCAAGAAACACAATAAGTCAATGGTTAGGCAAAAAATTTCAACGGATATGCTTGCTTGCTTTCAAACTGAAATGTCATGCTCTAAAAATCAACATTAGCAAAATTACGAAAATAATGATGAACATTACTACGAAAAGAACATTAAACTTTATGAGTCGGAGGGATTATTACCTTATATCCCTCGATCCCAAATTGGAACAACCGAATCCCATTTGATTCAAGAAACTCAACGTTAGCATCCGGGTATGGCTCCGGGCACAAGTAACTACACACATAGAGAAAAATACGCAGCATAAAAATCGGAAAATCGACCGAAATATTGCCTAGAACATTTTCTTATTCACCCTTCTCACACAAAATCCCACACACTCAATAATTTTGCACTACATATGTAAATGACCAAGGCCACACAGCATCAAAATCCCTGTTTACAAGTCATTCTCCTCTGAAAAAAAAATCATAAAAAAGGTGTCTTTTTCACCATCTTTAGTTTTTTTTCATCAAGCTTTCATTTTTCCCAACAAGAATCTGATAATACGAAGCATAAACATATCAATTTTGTTTTTTCAGAGAGAAAGAGAGATAGAGGGGGCTCACATGATGGACCGGAGATTGAGGGTTTGAAGAAACGGAAAGTTGTCCGAATCCGGGAAGCCAGACCGGAAAACGCCGTAATCCACCATCGCGAAGTTGAGGGGCGGGGTGAAGAGCCCTCCGGCGGCGGCCTCCTCGCGGAAGCTCTCGCCGCGGAACGACAGGCTCAGCTGCCGCGGCGGCGGATGCTCCGGCGACGTCGACACCACCGTGACTGTGCGGGGTCCGCCATCCCCGCCGCCGTTCTCCTCCTGCGTGCCCTGCTGCTGTTGCTGGAGCTTCGTCATCATTCTTCTTTTTTCGACAGACACAAATTAAGCTACTGTTTTGGTTTTGGGGATTGAGATAAAACGTTGTGTTTTGAAAATTGTATCTTGTTTTTCTGACAGTTTGATTTATAGAGATGAAGATGATGTTGTGATGAAATGAAATATTGAAGCCACCCCACTGGATAGAGAGAGACGGTAATGGTAAAGATTGTGTGCTTTTTAAAAAAAAAAAATATTAATGTTGTGTATAGCCTAACATAGCTAGTAATGAGTCGATCGTGAGTCCAACTCGACTCAATTCATTAGAACTCGAACACGATTTGGTTCCTTTGATAAATTAAGTGAATTCGAGGATTGTTGGAATAGAGAACATAATTTTCTATGTAATTTTTTGAACTACTAACTTATTTTGACTCACTAAGGTTCGAATTCAAATTCGACTCATTTAGCCAAAGCTTAAGGTTCGAGCTCGTGCTCTAGTATCATATCAAAAGTTGTAGTTCGTTAAGGTTCGAGTTCGACTCGACTCGACTCGTTTGGTAAACAAGTCGAGTATAAATTCATTTAAAACCTATTTAGCTAACAAACTAACCAAACTTGTTCAGATACGTCATATTCGAATCTATGAGATTTTTTTATGTAAGCTTTTAAATTATTAGCTTAGTCGATTTATTAAAATTTGAATTTGACTTGTTACAATTGATAAACAAGTCAAATTTAGGCTCATCTTTTGACTCATTTAATTAATGAATTGATCTCTATTCGACTTGTTAAAGGCTCGAGATTGAGCTCTAGCTTTTCCAACTCTAATGGTTGGTCTGTAGACAATCTTTGCAGAAATGTTTCTGGCTAAATGTAATAATAACAATAATTATAAATTTCTACTATATTTCATTGTCTTCAAGTTTATTATATTGCAAAAGTATAGTTGTATATTTTATAGTGAGGCGCATGGAGGATAAATTTAGATTCCAAAGGATATGCTGATTTAACCTTTTTGGTTTTAGCCAGACATAAATGTGAGACCTGCGCGCCACGTATCTGCATCGGGTCCTCAATGCAGTTAGTAGACCCTACGGCCCACCACACAACAAGCTTCTATTTAAATACAAATAATAACTAATACGTAGCCCGTGCGATTCACTGGACATAAGTATTAAATGAGTCATTTTCACATGAGTCATTTTCACAGAGCTTGTTCGTTAAGTAGCTCGTGCGATTCACGGGAGATATTAAATGAGAGGACCATAAGATTTGACAGTTCAGGCCTTAAAAATAATAGAATTTGATCATTTATTTTTTTATCTTTTTCATCAACGTCATCTTTTTTGTCGAAACATTAAACCTGAGTCTGGTAGTGCTAGTCCGTAAATTAATTAATATCTTATCTCGCTCACATGTTTATAATAATATAAATTTGATTTCATTATATATATATTTATTCCTTGATATAAGAAAAATAATAATTTTTCGTAATCTTGTTCCTCGTATAATACTCCTATTATTTTATTTTAAAATTTATTGTAATATAATGTCATTATTATTATTTATACAAGCTATAGATGTAGTCTTCTTATTCTTCTTGTTTTGTGTAATTAAAATATTTAATGTATGTTAATATTATTTATTAATGTAATTAATTTAAATTATGTAAATAAATTTAAAATAAAACATTTTGTACAAACATTTTACAAAATATACACAAATATTTTTCTAGAATTTAATTTTTTTATAATAAAATAAACATCTTTGAAATTCTATGCAATTATTAAACATCCTCGATGTAAAGCCTTGCCTTAATGAGAGCAAAGGCAGCCTCCGCCGCCGGAGTCCACACAAAAGACTTGCCAGTGAGGCAGTCCGTAATAGGCGCCGTAATGGTACTGAAGTGTGAAATGAAGCGGCGATAGAATGAAGCAAGGCCATGAAAGCTACGGGCCTCAGTGAAAGATGTCGGGGTTGGCCAATCACGAATGGCCGCGACCTTACTCTCGTCAACACGGATCCCTTCGCCAGAAATCACAAAACCCAAGAACAAAACAGACTCCACCAAGAAGCAACATTTACGAGGAGCAGCAAAAAAGGATTCAACACGTAAAATAAAAAGTACCTCTCTGACGTGCTGTAAATGCTCCTCCAGCGAGCGACTGTAAATGAGAATATCGTGAAAATAAACGACGACACTCTTCCCGATAAGATCACAAAAGGCCTGGTTCATCACTCGCATGAAAGTACTCGGTGTATTGGATAATCCAAATGGCATCACCATCCACTCGAAGAGTCCCTCCCGGATTTTAAACGCCGTTTTCCACTCGTCACCGGGTCTGATCCGAATTTGGTGGTACCCACTACGGAGGTCCAGCTTGGTAAAGATAGTGGCCCCGTGAAGTTGGTCCAATAAGTCGTCCAAGCGAGGTATCGAAAAACGATAACGGACCGTGATCTTATTGATCGCACGGCTATCGACGCACATACGCCAAGAGCTGTCCTTCTTTGGCACTAAGAGGGCTGGAACTGCACACGGACTAAGGCTCCTACGAACCAAACCCCGTTGAAGAAGGTCCTCAACCTGTCTGCATAACTCCTCATGTTCGGTTGGGCTCATCCGGTAGTGTGGTCGGTTCGGTAGTGAGGCTCCTGGGACCAGGTCAATGTGGTGCTGAATGTCCCGAAGAGGTGGTAACCCCGAAAGAATCTCGATAGGAAACACATCAGCAAACTCGAAAAGTAAAGGCTGAATGGACACAGGGGGCTCTCGATCAACTGCGGCGTCTGAGCCCACAAGCAGCAGCACGAAGGGTGCAGACTGCATGTCAGTCTCAAAAGTCGATCTAGAAACAAAAAGGACGGGGGAAGGGCTAGGTGTTGGAGTGGGACGATGAGGACTAGGATGCAAGGTAATCCGAACACCTGCGAAGTTGAAGCTGTAAGTGTTGAGTTTGCCGTCATGTGTTGCTGCCATGTCATACTGTCAAGGGCGACCAAGTAACAAATGGCACGCATCCATAGGGACCACGTCGCATCACACGTGGTCTCGGTACGTCGCCCCAATCGATAAAGAGATGAGAGCATGGCGATCCACCTGTATCGCACGGTCCCGATGAATCCAGGCTAGTGTGTAAGGATGAGGATGTGGCTCGGTCGACATACTCATCTTAGCAACTGCATCATGGGCTATCACATTTTGGCACGAGCCAGAGTCGATAATAAAACGGCACACTTTGTCGCCAATGGTGCATGTCGACTAAAAAATGTGATGTCGTTCCACGGCCTCATCAATAGGATAACGGGGTGTCAAACACGTTCGTCGTAGAACCAAAGCAGTGCCCACATCTCCCTGATGATGTTCCTCGCTCAAGCCGGGCTCAACATCGAAAACTTGCAGTCCCTCGTGCTGATACCTCTTGGTCCTCGCTATCCTCGATAAATAAGCCACGCGAGCTTGAACCTCGCGGGTAAGCCGACTGTCGGTGCCCGACCTCTCCACAACCGAAACACCGTAGCCCGCCACCCGTGCGCGGGTCCGTATTTACTGCCGGCTGGCGCGGCTGCCCACTCCCCGCCATCGGAAAACGCCCGGCGGCAGTAGATGGCCCCGCCCCTGTTCCTGCCGGAAACACCGCACGACTCGATGGAGGAGCACCTCCGAAAGACGAACCAGCCCGTGTGGACGAAGGGAAAGGAGTGCTGGACTTACGGGCCAACTGCTGCTCAACAAGTCGGGCCCGTTGATGTGCATCAGAGACAGACTCTGGACGAACAATATTCAACATATCCTGTATGGCTACTCGCAACCCACTGATATACCGAGAAATTAACTGGGATTTTGTTTCTCGTACCTCAACACGATTCAAAAGTTGATAAAACCCATACGTGTAATCATTAACCGAACGAGTACCCTGTCTCAAATTGTGTAATTGCTGATATACGACATTATCATAATTGAAAGGCAAAAACTCATCCTCCACATACTTACGAAATTTCATCCAGGAAATATCCGGGGACTTCCCTTAACGATGCCGCATGCTCGTCATATGCATCCATCAAGTCGCGGCCCGACCACGAAAACGGGTAGCGACGAGCGCGACACGCTTCTCTTCCGGGACCGCTTTATATTTCAAGGCCGACTCTACAACGGCCTACCAATCAACCAAATCACCCGGCTCCACACTCCCATGAAACTCGGGGATGTCTACCCGAAATCCCGACTCCCAACGCGAGTCCTCGCCACCTTCTATCGGGCGCCGACCCTCACGCCGCTGCTGCCATGTCTCCTCCGCCCCGTCATCACCGTAATGGCCACGCCTGCGGAAATCGGCCGGTGCTTTAGGTCTGCGACCCCTACGCCGATCCGCGTCATCATCCTCAAATCCATCGTCGTCGGACGGAGGCCAGTCCCGACGGTAACCGTCGTCATCATCCGCCGCACCTCCGAGCCACCACGGACCCCTCGCGCGACGACCGTCTCCGCGTCACGCCACATTGGTTCAAACCGGCGCCCGCCGCCACCACGTCCGTGAAACCCTAAATTGTCGTTAGCGAAAGGGTTGTCGACTGTCATGGTGTCGTCGGAATCGCCACCGGTCAGCGGTGGTGGTGGCGATCGGTGACGGGGCGCCCGCCAAACCCTCGACCTCCCCGACCACTGCGGTGCCCCTCGCGAGTACCCCGGCCAGCACCATCGCGATTTCATCGCATCTCGTCCATCATTGTATGCATCGTCAACCTCAATCCATCGATTCCCATTGTGAGATCCATGAATCGCTCGTCAATTCCGTGGAAACGATCGTCGATCCATTGAAACCGTTCGTCGGCGGAATTGTCGATCACGGCTTTGTCTCTCTTTGGCGGCATCGTGGATCGTTGGCTGGTCTGCTGATACTAACTGATGTAGAGGATATAATCGAAAGGAAAAATACGAACTCAGAAGACAACATATTTCTTATTTCAATCGTGAATGATCTTTTCTCTGTTTGTCTCATATATAAATAATAAAACTCCCCACTAACTCCACTTCCTACACCATAAAACCTACTAATTAAATAAACAACCCATACTTCATAAAAACGACATAACTACTAATACTAAATAGGAATAGTCCAAGATGAAATAAACGATAAAATAAATATACTAAACACGCAAATGGTCATAACGCTGCAAAAAACGCCAACGCGGCCTCGTCTCCATCAATCTCCTTGTGATTTTAGAAGAATATCATCGAGATTATCG